CATGGGCTGCTCGCCTTGAGTGCCTGGCATGTTTTGAAAATTTGTTTTTGAAAGAATGCCCGGCTGTCTAAGGTAGTAGAATAACCCCACGTCAGAATTTAGGCTTTACCTCTTACTAACTCTGTGGTCTAGGAAAATCGCTCACTGTTTCTTAGCCTTAATTTTTTCATCTGCACTATGGGATCATTTCTTCACTGCCCATCTGAAGGCATTGGCCTGAGGCTTAAGTTGGCTAACATGCCTGAAAGGTCTTCCTACATCTTCCCCATACAGGATGTATTATTATTAGGCTCCCTAACCTAGAAAGTGTGTAGTTTTTTGGCTGCACTTTTAGAAAGACACGTTGGGTTTTTCTGAGGGAATATTCCTGACTCTGATAACATTTATATAACTGACTTTTTGGGACCTTCATACTGTTGCTTATATAGTTGTTTTATGGTTCTTAGACATGTTTTGATTAAAAGTTTCCAAATTGTAAGACCATACTCTACATGGACTAATAAAAAAAAAAAGAGTTTAAAAAACAACTGCCTTAAGATGACCCAAAATTAGAATAATGACTGGGTTCTACAGATTTCATTGCTCTCTCAGAAACTGGAGGAAGCTGACCAGGACTTCCAGTAGCCAAGACTGATGATAAAAATTTCTTTAGTGTGATTCAATAGCCTTGAATTCACCCAGTGAAAATGGGGCTAAAGTCAGATTTTGTATTTTGTCTGCATAAGGTTCTCTCTCTGACAGCTGCCACCAGCCCGATTAGTACAGATGCTCATCAATCAAGTCAAGTCAAAACGTCAGCATGTTCACACTGTGTGCTCCTTTGTAGCATCTATTACATGAAGGCCGCCAGGCAGGCAACGCCACCAAACATGCTTTGCGGTGGGAATGCCAATTAGCTGTGGCTCCCTTTGTTGATGGGAGGAAAATACAGTAAGATGGTTAAAAGAATGGGTTTCGATGTTGCTCAGACCTGGGCTTACATGCTTGCTTTGCTTTTTACAAATTTTGTAGCTTCTGAGCCTCAATTTTTCATCTGTAAAATGGATATACAAATACTCATATAATAGGTATAATAGGATTGTTATGAGAATTAAAAGACATCGCTCAGCACAATGTAGGTGTTCAATGAACAGTAATTATATGAGCTGTAATAGCAAGCAATGTTATTAAGTAATAATGAAATTAATAACATTTATAATACCAATTATATGAATTATAATGAGGCTTATGCATGATAGATTGTCTTAAGAACTTACAAATTTTAACTCACTTAATCAACACACACAGGTAGGGACTATTATTAATAGTCTCAGGTTTACATCTGAGGCCCGGAGGTTAGGTAAACTGCTGAAGGGAAAAGGCCCACCAGGTTTTGAACTCAGGCAGTCTGACTCCAGCCCCAGAGTTCTTAACCACCAGCGCTATGCCGCTGATGCCTCTCGCCCAATGATGCTGTTATGGACTCAGCGTTTTAGTGAAATGAGTGGCTCGTTTTTGGATGGTGCAGGAAAGAATAGTGTGTCCCATTACTGTGGCTTGTCATAGGTACCTACATTTGACACCCATAGAAGGAGCTTGTGTCCACTAGGTGGCATTGCTGTTTTAACAAAATGTGAACCGAGTCAACGTTTAGGTTTAAGAGCCTGCTAAATATGGGAGAAGTACCAGGACAATCTAATTGCATCCCTAAAAGTCTGATGGAAGAGAATTCAGAGACGACCTAGAGATATTCTAAAGACTAAAGGTACCTTGAAATAATTTAAAAAATATGCCAGTCCATTTTGGGCATCACCGTCTGTGTAGAAAATCTGGATGAATTTTGAGATTATTTAGTCCAAAGGCATCAGTTCTGAGATGAATAGACTGAAGGCCAGAGAGGAAAAGTGACTTGCCCAGGGATACCCGGGCCTGATGGTTTTGGCTGTATTTCTTTTTCCATACTTCCTAGTGATTCTGAATTACAAGGAAACTGTGATTTTTGAATTCTTACGGGACTTTATTTTTTTGGGAATGGGGCAGATGGTTGCCCAACAATTGTGAATTTTCTTTCATTAGGTTTCAAACATGTGTTTCAAATCTACAGCAGACTCTTGTACTTAGATATTAAGGAGCATAGAAGTGAAAAATGGTGCTGATTGT